TTTGTCGTCTGTAAAAAGATAACGGATGCAACACAAGTAGATGTTCTCTTTTCGTCTTAATGTTGTCCTATTTTCATTTTCTTAACATTTGTGACATGCATGTGGACTTTTCTGTACAAGCATCATATATATGTGCAAGATCGGTGTTGTGATAATCCTAACTTTCGAAGGTCAAAAATACGATTATAAAATGATAGTTATTACTATCTTATATATGAAAACAAAAGTCACAACTTTGATTCATGTGTGATATTTTAAAAAGTGGACTTTCATTAGAAATCAGTTATCATTCATTTATTCCTAATAATATGACTTAATAATATTTCATTCCTAATATAACAATCGACTCCTATAAAACTGGATTAGTTAACAAACACATATTTGATTCTTTAATAAATTATATATAGTGGTGATGTAAACCATCATATAGTTCAGAATACTGAACCGATTTAAATAATTCAAAAAATGTATATATAATTATTGTATAAACATCTTATCTTATATATTAAAACAGAAGCCACAACCTTGATTCATGTGTGATTTTTTTAAAAAAAATAGACTATTCCTTAGAAGGATTATCAAAATTATCAAATATTACATAATTAAATGATAATATCTTTATCTTTCTATTTGAAATACAAATGAAATAAAATCCAAAAAAACCTTTATGGCATCTTTTTAAATTGTAGGAAATTTTTTATTTCCTTAAATCACTGAATTTAAAGTCTAATTCTCATAAAATATAATTAAATTATTATTTTATTTATAAATAAAAATTTAAAATTATTTAAAATATTTCTAATCATAGTTTAATGAGAATAATAATATAAAATGATGGAGTTTCGAAAATATTTATTTTAAAAAAATTAAATAGTTTATGTTAGAAACAAATATTGAAATTTTATTTCAAATATACAAAATAATATATTATATTCTTAGTCTATACTATTAAAACGAAGTCATGAGTAATTTCATGTATATTTTTTTAATTTGGACCATTCTTTAAAACAGTTATCAAATTTTATATAATTTAATTATAATATTACTCCATATCTTTCTTTTATCTAAAATACACAATTTTTTGTTTAAGAAATTAAAATTTATCTAGATAGCACTATATATTCCTAAAACCTAAATAACAAAACCATATACTAGAGTTTGACCCATACAGGTTTTTCATTTTATAAATATAAACTTCGATAGTATTTTATATATTATATAACTCTATAATTTCGTATTCGTCATTAGTAATATATAGTAATTTGTTTTATATATTTTAATTTATATTCTTATTGATTGTTATTACTTATTAATATATTCTTAATTTTGATACATAAGTTATGTTATGAAATAATCAATTATATAATCTTCTTTAATATAGAGTTCTAGTTTCTACAATTTGCATACAATACATTTTAACATTTACTTAGATATATTATAGATAACTATTTGTTAATGATAATTTATATTTACATATTGTATTTAAAAATGATACTTTAACATCTATCACTTTAGTATTTCACGAGATTTTATAAGTATAAGTAAATATGTTGTTATTTATTGATAACTTTTTTTATAAACTATAAATAAAAAGAAAACCCGCATGGTTGTGCGGATCAAGATCTAGTATCTATTAAAATAGAAATCATGACTTCTTTCATGTGTGATTATTTTAATTTACACCATCTTTTGAACTACTTTAATCATAATATCTTTTGATATCTTTTCATTTTAAATATAAATACTTTTTAGAAGAAAAAAATTAACAAATTTGTTTAAAATATTTTAACAAGATCTTAATATTCAAAAATTCTAAGTAAATATTTTAATAATTGGTAATTAGTTTTAAAATATTATTATACATTAATATATTTTATAAAATGTAAAAGAAAAGTTTTAATTTATTTATTTTCAGAAGTATTTATGTTCAAATATAATATGTTGGTAACAAGGACTAACAGTCGCAAACTATATAATATTCAATGAACTATTATTATGAAATAATATATATTCAATTATCAATATAAAATGAAACACAAAAATTATATCTTTTTATTTATTTTTATATATTTTATAATAATAATTCATGTTAAAAATAAAAATATAATATTGAATTAGATATGATAAATTATATTAAATTGATAAATTTATAATTGTATTTTCATAAATATAAAATATTTATGCTAAAAATATGATACGGCGACATAACGACTTAACATTCGCAAACTATATGATACATGTACGAAAATTGAGATATCTTAGACTTTTGTATATACAAAGAATGTATTTTCTAAAATGAATAAACGTGAAAAATATTGCTTAAAGGAAATACGACTTTCGGCGGGTCAGAATTGAATATAAATTTGGTACAAAATAATTTTCAAATATGTTGTTTCATGCATATATTAATTTTTTTAATAACTAAATCAAAATACATTAATAAAAATATATAATAAAAATGATAATACATGTGATGGTTTTAAACTATTGATTAATTACACCATGTAAACTATAAAATTATTATATTTGAAATATGTAAATCAACATTTAAATATATGGTTAACGTTAAAATTATATACCACTAATAAACCCAAATAAATATATATATTTATAAAACTGAAAAAGAACACCCACGCAACTATAAATACATGTGATGATTTTAAATTATTGATTAATACTATAAAATTATTATATTTGTAATAGGTATATCAACATTTGAATATATGGTTAATGTTAAAATTGTATACCAATAATAAACTGAAATAAATATATATATATACATATATATATATATACATATATATATATATATATATATATATTTATAAAACTGAAAAAGAACGCCCGCGAGGTCAAGATCTAGTATATATTTATATACTAGGATAAGACATGCGCCTTGCACAGGGTGAATATACGTAATTAAATATAAAATTTTAATATTGATAAATTTAAAATTTAGATATAATTTTTTTTATATGTATTTGAAATTTTAGAATTTTGGAATTTTTAAATAATTATCTATATGTAGGATCAGAAACAATTGTAATTAGAACTGTAGATCAAATCTTAGAATTTAATCGACCCGATTTCATATATCTTTTCACTTTTTAGTGTTCGAGTGATGGAAAATAAACAGAGTGTCATTGGGCTTGATTGGTAGAGTATTAGCAAATTTCCTAAATTTTTTTTAAGAAGCAGTTGGTAAAATAATAGCATTTAAAATATATAAAGTTTCAAAACTAATTTAATATAATTAATTTATTTGTATAATAGTATTAGAAAACTATATTTTTACAAATTATTCTTTTTTAAATAATTTTATAAAAAATTAAGTTCAATTTTAAATTATTTTTAAAAACAATATTTTAAGTTTTTCAAATACAAATAAAAATTTAAAATTAATTATGGTCATAATTTAACACCATAATGATTTAAAAAATTAAAAAAAAATAAAAATTAACAAATTAAAAATTAACTCAGTTTTATATCATGATTTAACAATTTAAAAATTAACTATGGTTATGAGAAGTTTACGTTCACGTGTTAATCATATTTATCTTCAATTTTTTATTTTGTTGTATTTTTTTATATTTTGGTTATTACTCGATATAAATATTGATTTTGAAGTTTATTCTCATTTTGTTTATTTGTTTTGACCTGAGATTTATAAAATACTTAAGATTTAAAATAATTAAAAAGATACATACTTAGGTTAAGATCTGCACTTTATGCACAATAAGTATTTATACTTATAATTTATTTTATAATTTTCTGCATATCATAAAATAATAAATAATAAATACATATATTACATAACTAAGAAATCAGTCACTATTATGCAATAAATTGATGTATGCATATAAATTTAATTATCATTCTTTTTATTTGCAATTAGCGTAAATAAATCAAAATAATCAATCTTATATATTGTATATGATATATAATTAAATTTAAATGATATAAACATAGTAATATGGCACACTTTTAATATTGATATTTATTAAATGAGGTTTCTACTCATATGATTTTATGATTATTTGCATATTTGTGTAACAAAACTTTACACCAACAATTTTTTTTTAATGTGAGATGTTTAGTAGTTTCAATAATTTATAATCATTTAAAAAATGACATATTTCAAAATTAAAATATTAACTTTTCAATATATGTTGAAGACAATCAAAATATAAGTATGTATTTCATACGATTTATAGTTTAATTATAACGATATGAAATATATATATAAACTAAAATTATTTCTTCATATGGTCTTATAATCATTATATTTTAATATAGAAAACAAATTAAAACCTTGATCCTAAAAGTTTATGTGAGACTTTTAACAATTTTAGTAATTTATACTCATTTTGAAAAATTCGAAATACAACATACACAAACAAAAATCTAGATTTTTATTATATGATTAATGTAATTGTGTAATTTATTTTAATAATAAATAAATAAACAAAATGAGAAAAAGTATAAAGATTGTTATCAAATCTTCATTGTTTAAAATCATTAATTGTCATATATATTTTAATCACGTTAAGTAATTCTGTATGTTTTATTTAAGGAAAGCATGCAAAACAATAAATATTTGATATAAGCGATCAACTATAGTCTACAAAATATTATGTTGCTAGAGAATATAATTTTTAGACTATACATTATATCACATGCTCCAAAATCCTTGGGATTTGAAATAGAAGCCAAATAGCTATGCTAATACCACATAGGATTTGGGTTATTTTTAATTCTTACAAACTTAAGGTTACAACTTTTTAAATGATTCTCAAATAATATATAGGGGATCTGTATCCAGCATCTATAGCAATCTACCTACAAAGATTTGATTTCCGAAAGTTCCCAATCTTTAATCGTCTAATACTATTTTCCTAAACCCATGAGATTATGTTTGCATTTCCTCCTGCCGTAGGTGAATTAGTCGGTTTAGTTCAAAACGACCTAAGAGTCTTTGTCGTGTACCCAAAATCTCTGTCTCAAGTCCCACTTGTCCTTTGTCTTGTGCTCTTCAGCACGATTGGAGCCACAAGCATCCATACTGTCATATAACATTTCATCAACAAAACACTACGAAACTCTAAGGATGAGATCATTTAAATTATTTCTCAGTTCGTTTTACTTACTGTATACGCAAACTGCAACCCACTCATTCACAATCCTTACCCAAGTACTCGTCCATCCCACGTCAATCGTCCACCTGAACGGGGAAAAAAAGATAGTGTAAGTTGAAGTCTCAGGCGTGAGGCTAGTCTTACAAAAGCGCATAAGTTTATTATGTGTCTGTGTTTGTGTGTGTGCATAGAATGTATAAATACGATCTTGAGTAAACTTTACTTTTTCATTGGGTGATGAGTGTTCCAACCGATGAGGAGCATAGCGAAGTACATTGCTCCTGTCGCAAACACAAAATGGAAGAATCCATATCCATATGGAACACCATCTTCCTCCACTTCTTCTTCCTCTCCTTCACTACACACATCTTTCTTGAATTGGAAACATTGAGAGTCTATTCCTGTCGAAAATGTTGCAATCACCATTGCCAGTAACGCAACCACAAAGCTCTGCAGAATATTATTCAAAATCAGCATATTACTAATTTTGATGAAGCAAAAGTAAACAAATTGTTGGGCGGTTGAAAGAAGTTACAATGATTGTAAGCCAGTCCGTTCTGTTTGAAGCTGCTGCTTTTCTGTTGCAGTTTTCTCCCACTGGTTCACTGCACAATATTATGTAGGAGATAACTAAATTACTATCAAAGTTCTTTAAGCAATAAAGAATGACTATATGGCTTTACTAGTTGGAAGTATCGTATAAACTTGTATGCCTTTTAAGGTTTAGATGCAGATTTTGAATTAGAAGTGGACTCAGGACTGGACCAAGTAAATTTAGAGTGTTCACATGTATTTATAATCTGATTAAGTAACACAGGAAAATGAAATTTAAATCATAACATACCTTCGAATGGCGCACCAGCAGATAAACACAACATAGAGCCCCATAAGAGCCGGAGTCAAGTATCCAGCATTGACCTGTTGGTGTTGGCAAGGACAAACAAATCTTTATAACTTCAAACATCCAACACACAAACATGACACAACTATGGATAGTAATGGTTACAAAAGACTTACTTTAGGATGGAGAGCGATGCTTGTCATGAACTGGATGAGGAACAATGTCCAAGTTATGAAGAATATATTGAGAAGACATGAAGCCTCCGGCGCGTACCATATGTACATCAAAATCACCCCAACTATACACACTGTGTATGAAGTTGTTGCTAGTAACATCACACGGACACGACTACAAACATATATAATTTAAAAGTGTTGCTTGATTAGTAACAAAACTGAAGAAAAAAAACTAAATTGTTTTGCTGAATCAAAACTAACCATCTTTCTGCATCTTTTTGGGACTGATAGCACTCGTTGAGCCATGTTATGAAACTGATCACACTAATTAGCTGTATGAGTAGAAATACCCTATTGAGAAACAACATACAATAAGATTGTGGAATTTTTCACTTCATTATATAAATTGTGAAACTTAGACTAGATCAGTCTCTTACCCTGCACCAAAATGGGCAAGCTCTCCTGAAAATCAAACCAAAGAAAACAAACATGTTTTTAATTGCACGTAAATTGAATTAGAGAGAGTACTAGAAGAGGAATCTTGCTCCTCGAGCCTTACCGTAAAGGAGAATAATGGTAGAAGGAAGCAAGAAAGGAATGATGGTTAAAGCAGGCCACATGATAAGCTTAGCAGACCACCATCCAGAATGCCATTTATCTCTTGATGAATGCGTTTTTGAAGTGCCAAGTGTTGATAGAAACATTACGAAATAGAACAACTGAAGATTTAGAGTTAAGCATAAAACATTTTCTGAAAAAGTGTTGTAATATATATATATATTTCAAGACTGGTCAAGAAAGGATACAAAACATCCCAAGCTAACCCTTAAGACCCCTTCTGTCCCTAAACAGTTTTCTCCTTCTTTACAATTCTTGAATTCTACAATTTAGAAGTACCACAGGAGTTGTATCAGCATCGGTTAACTTGTAAGACAAAGGAACGAAATTGAAACCTAATATCTTGGTACGTACTTGTTACTCTATTTAAGGCACGCTGACCATAATCACGAGCAGCCCAAGCTAGTAGATTTGCGATGAGGAATATAAGACCGTATACATATCTAGCCATCCAGGGATTACATCCATTGCGGAACTGATTAAACCATGATCCATTCTTGATGGTTTCATAGCTATCGTTTCTGCTGTTGCTAGTGCTTGTACCGGTCTCCATAACTCCTTAATTAAAACTTACCAGACTCCCTCCTCTTCATGACATTAGAAGATCGAAGATTTCAAGAATCAGATCATTCCATGGGGGGGGGGGAGGGGAAATTTTGCATCAGAAGTCAGTTTCTTAAGACAGAAGAAATGATCAAGAACGAGAAATTCGCCCTGTTCTTGTCCTGGTCCGAGAGTTTTCTTGCTTCAGATCAAAACCTATGAAAGGAAACAATAAGCACTTACTTGCCGGAACAGAGACGGTAACAAGAAGACAAAAGAATGAAGCAAAGGCTGAGAATCCAATTCCATTATCAAAACGATAATGAGGAACTTAAAACCCTAAGACAAAACATGTTTGACATGAGAAACATCTGAAGTGTATCCACAAAGAAAATATCACACAGAAGTCGTTTCTCAACAGAAAGCATCTCATATCTTTTTTGTTCTGCCGACCTTGACAGAGAATACGTATGGTGCAAGTAACCTTTTTCCTTATTAACCTAAATTGGAAAAGCAACTTTTATAGGCGTCAACGAGAAGCCACATTAGACGGCTCATGTTAGTCCAATTGGAACTTTGAACCTTAACCATGACCAAAAAGACAAAAAATAATACCAAACTTTAAAAGCAGGCTAGACTACAATATGAGGACATGCAAGATTCTCAAGACTTTAAAACTACTCAAGTCAAGATTTGGCAGAAACTAAAAACAATGAGAAAAAAAAAAAAACCTTTTCGATAGTAAATCCCTAATGCAAAAGGAGAGGCGTGGATAAACAAATAAGCACCCAACGAAACTTTGTTTGACAAGGAAACAAAAGATTAATAAGAGATCAAAAGATAAAACGAAAAAGAATCAGATCTGATAGAGATATATGCAATTTGGACTCGGAAAGAAACGTGTTGGTACGGATACAAATGGGTAAACGAATATTTTCCTCTGACTAATTTGAATGAGTCATGCTAAGCAGGAACATCAAATACTCATTTTGGGCTTCACATGTCCACTTAATGGAGTGGAGACACATGCCTCCACTAAAAACTGTTTCAAGAAAGAGTGGGATCGTTGATCAACTATCCACCCAAAAAATCTTATAAAGAAAAACGTCATCTACAATACCGGGAACTGGGATAACATAGATTACTAAATCTTGAAATTATTTTTGGGATGATTGGTTGAACTGTAGCTGTAAAAATTTTACTGTATAAATTAGTCTGTAAATTTTTTCGATTTAGATGTAAAAGATGTAGCTTTAAAAATTATTGCTACAGCAACATATTTTCTACAACAAAAAAAGATGTGACTTTAGAAAATAAGGATTTTACAACTATTTTTTTTAGTTTATGGCTGTAGTTTTAAAAAATAAGATAAAGTATGATTGGTGATTTAAATGCTGTAGATAAAAATTAAAGCTAAAGTCAGCACTTACAACCCAATAACTCCCAAATTCTTCTTTTTTAAAAAAAATAAATCTTGATATTATCATATTATAGATATCAATATTTCTTTTCTTTCTTTGTATCATCTAATTAATCTTAAAAGTAAGCCTGGATGTTCGTTTTTGATCTGAATTTTTTTTTTTTTTTTGTAAATCAGGATGGGTTCGGGCCTTCGGCCTTAATCCCCCCAGACCCGGAGCCAACCTGCATATGTACCTTTTACGGCCCTGGACACTCCTCCCCGTCCGAGACTCGAACTCGTTGTTCAGTTTCAGTTTGTTTATTCTTAGAAACATGGTTCCAATTTTTTGGCGTAATAGTGGACGCTAAAATAAAGAATTAGAAAGTTTGAATTGTTCAAGTGAAAATATCTAATAATTTGGATAATTTAAAATATTTTTGAATAAAATTATTTGGGTAGTTTAATTGTAATAATTGGGTTTATATATAGTATTTTGAGGATATTTTGTTATTTAAAAGCAAAATATAAATGATATTTTAAAATATATAAACTATATGTTATATATTTGAGTATCTATTAGTTTTTAATACGGTTTTTTTTCTGGGAATAAAAAAACTGTTCAAATATTTGTGAACACCGTTTTGATTTCCTTCATAGTGTAAATAATGTTCTTATAAAAACAAATTAAAAAGAGAAATCAAAACTTCAGCAGTCCGCCTGCCAATACGCTAAACCTTTTAAGATTTTCAAGATTGGCTTATGGAAAACCTAGAAAATATTTCAGCCTGATATGGAACGTATTGAATAACAGTACGGGTTGAATAACAGTGGGGCCATGTGAGGGATAAAACTCACTTTCTAATTTAGGTTAGGTTAAGATTGGGGAGAAGACAATCGTGGGCTGAATCCCTTAAGAACTTAGAGAATGAATTATGATTGTATTGATGAATAAGGGTTAAAAAGATGATTATGATGAGTACAAAGAATATAACCGAATGATTTGAGAGTTACAATGTGTGTGTAAATTTGTAAAAAGCGTGAATGAATCCCGAGAGAGAGGGCTTTTCTCTGATCTCCTCCTTCTCCTTAAATAGCTCTCAGCCACGTTTGAAGGATCCTAACCAGCCTCCGAGATTTGCTCCGTGAGTTGGGGGATTCTCAACAGTCTCCTTTTGACCGGGTCCTGCGCAACCAGCCTGAGCGACTCCTGTTAGCTCCTTGTAAATGAGGTCCGGAGCTCTCCTGTTAGCTCCTTGTAAATGAGGTCCGGAGCTCTCCTCCGTGACCTGTTTATAAATGAGGTCCGGAGCTCTCCTCCGTGACCTGTTTAGTTGACGTTCCTTCCTTACCAAAAATAGCCTCAGGCTTCTTTTTGACTCTTTTCTCAAAAGATTAATTGCCAATGGGCTTACAGTGGCCCATAGTCAACTCTTATCGTTCTAACCCATTAGTCTCAGCTAGCGGGCCATATTTGGGCCCAACAGTTGCCCCCAGCTTTCGAGATGAGACCTCTTTTCTCGGAAGCTAAAGCTCAACCGCCTGATCTCTATCTCTTTGTTGAGATAGCGACTATGTCTTCGTGTTCCCAAGACTTCTCTCCAATGGGCTTTCTTTTTATCTTTGTTAAGACTTGTGGCCTGAGGAGGCCTTTAAACTTTTGCTTTGTTAGGATCTTTGATCTTCGTCGATGTTTTGATGAATTCCTTAATACGGACTCGATCGTCTAAGTAGAAGTTTTAACTTCCTTGAACGAAGGATTCTGGGTCGTGTTAGTAACATGTCCCGTAGTCGTTAGACNTTTTGCGAAGGATTTTAAGACCTTGAGTTTGGTTAAGGTTTTAAGACCTTTGATTGAGGTTCTTTGGGAACCTGGATTTGTTTTCGAAGGATTTTAAGACCTTGAGTTTTGATGAGGGTTTTAAGACCTTTGATTGAGGTTCTTTGGGAACCTGGATTCGTTTTCGAAGGATTTTAAGACCTCGAGTTTTGTTAAGGGTTTTAAGACCTTAGATTGAGGTTCTTTGGAAACCTGAATTTGTTTTCGAAGGATTTTAAGACCTTTGAGGTTACTAAGGATTTTAAGACCTTAGGTTTAGGTTTGTGGAAACATGAATTAGCTTGTTTAAAGGATTTTAAGACCTTAGTGGTTACTAAGGATTTTAAGACCTTAGGTTTAGGTTTACGGGGACCTGAATTAGTCTGAAGGATTTTAAGACCTTAGGTTTAGGTTCACGGAGACCTGAATTCGTTCGAAGGATTTTAAGACCTTAGGTTCAGGTTTACGGGGACCTGAATTCATTTGAAGGTTTTTGAGACCTTAGGTCCAGGTTCGTAGGGACCTCGATTCGTTTGAAGGACTTTAAGACCTCAGGTCCAGGTCCGTAGGACCCTGGATTTTTTTGAAGGATTTTAAGACCTTAGGTCCAGTTTTATGGGGACCTGGATTTGTTTGACTTCGAAGTGTAAACTCGAGTCATGTACTGTGACTTTTTAAGTCTGAGATTTATGTGATCTTTCCGGAATCAGATCGCGGATTTTGTTAACAGCTGACCTAGTGACCTTAGAGGTCTCAGTGATTTCGATTGTGATTGGTCGTGAGATTATTAGGAATGAGTTCCTGGATCATCGAGAGTAGATTAAGATCTTTAGGGATCTAAACTCTTTCCAAAGGGCTTTTAAGGCCATTAAGAGTAGATTCACGTAAATCTGGATTCGTTTGGAAGTTTTCAAGACTTCCGAATTTACTAAGGATCTTAAGTCCTTAGGTTCAGGCTCGTAGGGACCTGAGTTCGTTTGAGGGATTTTTAGACCTCAGGTCCAGGCTCGCGGGGACCTGGACTTATTTGAAGGATAATCAAAATGTTTACATGTAATCGCTTCATTGATAACTTTTATAGAATACATCGCGTTGTAGCAATCATACAGTTGCTGTCTGGGCTATGTGTTTTTAAACATATGCCCCCTTTGGCTATGATGAAAAGAATGCTGAAATGAGGTTGAGGCTGTACTCATGACAGAGTTGCCTACGTACCCGGTCAAGGGATCAAGCCTAACGTAGTTCAGGGAGTTTAGGTACCTAATGATGGTATCTCTTGGGATTCATGGTGTTCCA